AGCACCATGCATAGGTGCCGATGATAGTTTTTCATTCTGTCGGTAGCGCGACTACCTTAGATATTGCCTTAGCTCCGCTCTCAAGTTCTAGGAACCGAGTCACTTCTCCAATGTGGATAGGTTATCATTCAGGATTAAACGTCCGGACCGTGAAAGCTCGCACATGACGGCCGGACTTGGACTAGGGCGTTGGGAAGTCACCGGTTCCAGGGAAACTAAGTTTTTCAGGGTCATCGGAGAGGATCAAAGGAGAGTAGGGTTGAATAGAGGAGCCAATATTTGACCTAGACCATCCGGAGCTTCCGGGACTCTGAGGATTTGGCCTAGCCTTGCACAGCGACAATACTTAGGGCTTGAATGGAATGTGGCACTGGCAGATGAGAATTTGCCTCGGGTTAATTAGAATTGAGTCAGTTATTATACCTTGGTTTTCTATCTTTGATTGCCTTGTCAAAGTGCAACCTTGGGATGGGTGTTATCTTTTGTTTGATAGTAGAATCCAGCACGATGGCACAAGCTAGAATTTCGCCAAAGGGAAACAATTAGGCAGGATTTCTTTCTTGTCCGTAGTTGTCTAAATATTTGTCTCCTTAATGACTCCCTATTTGAGTAGGTCTGGACTGCATTACTGCTCACTCGTCCAAACTTTGGCATTCGCCCTAACCTCGATGAAAATGGTACAGTTCCATTGATTGAAAGAGAAACTTCTTACCAGGTATCGGGACCCAACTGTGTTTTTGGGCTGCTCAATATCTCATCTTTATGAATCTCAAACTTGGAGTAGGTCCTGGCTGTGCCAAGGCAATTGCTTCAGGAATAATTATGTGTGTGGGCATTTTATGTAAACCGACACGAGACCCCCGAAAAAGTCAGGCTATCCGAGATTTTGAGTTCGGTGGTATATAGCACTTCATTCTAGGGATGTGAGCTTGCCATACGGAGGTACAGCGCCTAAGTTTTGTATGTTACACTCGCAGTGGGCATTTTGTTAGCAACTGGTGTAACATACAAAACTTAGGAGCTGTACCTCCGTAGGTTATCCTACGCCATCTTTAATACCTTTATCGATTGGTTCGAGGGGAAAAAAGGTGTTTGTCGGGTTGAAGCAAGTTGGGGAATTGCGTCACTGGCAAACTACAGAAAGTTCCATCACTACGGGTTAAATTAGATCTCTGATTTCGCCCAAAACATAGGATCACTTGAATCCCCAGTTCGTGATAGAGGGTCGGTGTCCGAATGCCAATTGTGTCTGTTGGCATCCCAGATACCTTGAATGGCTCTTGGTGAGCTAGGAAGGGCTGGTCACGGAGGGAGCGGTGAACTTGGTTACCTCGGCCGCTGAAGTGCTGCCTGCCTGTACTGTACCCGGGTGATATGAGGGGTCAATTGACGGAAGCCCTCACGGATCCCGTTGATGGGGTGTAGCGAGATCTGCACACGCTTCTGAAGGTTCGTCCGAATTCCACATGCTTCACTCTCGGCAGCGCTCAATTCATTCGATCGAATCACCGAGGAAGCGAGGGACGAAGGCTTTCGATGATAACTCTGTTGCTGGTAAATATCATACCCGGAATCATAGATTGCGGTGCTATCCCTTCGGCTAAGGCTAAACTCGTCGTTGGAGTCGGTACTCGAGTAGTTCCGAGGCCGTGGGAATTTACGAACTATCATACAATAACTGTGGAAGGTTCGAGTGTGTGATCTGTTGTTTTGGGTGTTCTTCCGGCACCATTCGACCATTTGGGTATAAAGTTATTACCTGTAATTAGTGGGTTTGTGCTGTGGAGCCTAGGCGGTGTTAACATAAGTTGGTGACAAGGCTTGGCGACCCCGTTATTTGGTCTCGACAGGTCGGTGTGTCCAGACAATGGAATCAGACATGGAATTAGGGGCCCACTTTCCACCGTAATTTTATGACTCCATTAGAGTATGATTTTGTAGCCATTTTCCTTAAGCATAGTCCCAAGGAGGGTAGTCTCAGGATTCTTGGGAATTGGCCACTGCATGACTGCTTGGAAGGACCAAGTTTAGGCACCTCGACATTTGTTGAGATTGATGGGGCTCTTGATGTGATAAGCTTCTAGCGTCACGGATGATACGGTAATTCCCACCCCGGTCAGGCTACGCAAATCTCTATGATACTCTACCGTAGTAGGTTATGGTTGTAGCTAGCCTAGAGGGTAAACACTTACCGGCGGTTTCCTGGATAAAAACACAATTCCTTAGTGTTCGCACGGTCGGGGTTGATGTCTTACCGTGAGGGCTCCTTTCACGAATAGCAGTCCACAGAAGATGAAAATAATATTATCAAAGAACACGGTATTCACATCGGCTCAATTGGCGCTTTACGCCTACAGACGGCACATTGGGGGCCGGGCAGCAGAAGCTAGTAGATAGCTTCGGTGGAACGTTAGTCTATGTGTGATGAATAGCCTACGAAAATCATTAATCGTACTAATCACTGTGCTTCTCGTGGTGGCCCTCCGCCCTCGTTTTGTGGTCTTAGTATCATGTACAGTATAGTACAATATCATATCATACCTGGGTTGTCGTCTTGGCCTCTTGGGATAACTGGGGGTTTCTCCTCTTGATCATATGGCCTGGTTTGAAATCTACGCTCCCTCAATCAATTCTTTATCCGTGAGGGTTTTAGTCACCTGAGGGTTGCCCCCACTGGAGCTCGGATCATGGAGCGGGTGCTTGGGTAGGGTTGGACTAGATGAATCGTTGGTTAGGGCTGTACTTTACCCTAGCCCTAATTATGGCAAATTGAAGGAGGAAATACCGTAGGGGAAAGTGGAAGAGAACGATCCCCGCCGTAGTACCGCAGAATTGGTGGTCAGGGGGTAACTAGGCAATAACACCGGTGGGATACGAGTGAGTCTGGTGGTTGAATGTCCATCACGCAAAAGCCTCCACCAACGACGTGATCAGGAGACTGTTCTAGGCCCGGAAAGAGGGATGCACTACCGATGCTAAGAACGGTAGACTACTCGCGTGCCCGAGCTGAAGCCGGACACAAGGAGACACGCGGAGAATACAGTACCATACCTGTATGTGATTCGCAAGAATCCTACTTCCTCCGGGGTGCACTCGGGTATGCTTGTACCGTACTCTAGGTCTCTAACTACCAAAGAACTTACTAACTGGGAAGCGGTGCCTGCTGGAAATTTGTGAGCAAGGATACATTGCTTTACCGTGTTTCCTGAGATTGCAGCTGGCTGCCCTATGGTACAAGATCACGATTGTAAGGGGCCATGGTGCTGTAGACGTGCTGGCACTGTACTATGTACTAGTACTGTACAGTACAGCACCGGCACACACGGCAACACCAATACTTCGAGTATCGAATCGGTTTAACGTAGATGGTGTGCGAGTACCCGGAAGGGGAGCGCTATTACTGGAATTAGGCCTGAGTGGTATTTCCAGAAAGAGCTAGTGTTCGATATCTCCTGGCTTACTATACTCGTAGTATCAGACTGGGCGCCCCCCCCTCGGCGAAGGGCGGGGTCGTCTATCGGACATGGTAAATGCCTCTATTGACCATAATAAGGGGATTCCGAGAGCGCAACATCACCGAGAGAGAGAGGGGCGTCTACCTATGGCGGAATTATGATTGGCCTTGCGCCATAGCAAGCTAGGGTCATGTCATAAGTATAAATTATCACCGCTCTCGCACGGGGATCCTCTTTGTTATTCTTTCCCACAAATATTACCAACTCCTGAATCACTTACAGGTAGCTGATTTCTTATAACTCACCGTCAATCATATCCAATGGCCCCGTCAGTTGTCGAGATCCCGACCCCTCATAAGGTTCCTAGCATCAATGGAACCGGTCTGGAAAAAGTTCCCAGATTTACCCCGGGATATACGGCTGTGGAAGAAGTGACCACAGACTACAAATACGAACACCTTAAGCCATGCTTTCCCGATGTTTCCTGGCCACCTCTCGAAGAAGTCCCCTACTCCGATAAAGGTGTTCTCGGGGATCCCGAATATAAAAATCTCTTAGCCGAGGCTACCGATGTCTTCGACTATACTCCTAAAATCGGAACTGAGATCCATGGAGTTAAGCTGAAGACCCTGACGGATGCTCAGAAAAATGACCTCGCGCGGTTGGTTGCCTATCGAGGGGTGGTATTTTTTCGGGATCAGGGGGATTTCGAAGTTGGGGACCAACTAGACCTAGGACGGTACTGGGGACCCCTGCATAAACATGCAACAACCAGCGTCCCGCGAAAAGAAGGGTTGGATGAGATCCACGTGGTTTATCATGACGCGAATGGTTTGGATCAGAGGGCCTTATTCACACCAACCCATCTTTGGCACGCAGATGTAATCTCCCCGCTCAGCTTATTCCATTCTCTCTAACAGCTCTGCCCAGGTAACCTACGAGCTCCAACCACCTTCCTATACTCTTCTCAAGGTTCTGCACGGCCCTCCACGCGGGGGTGGTGGCGACACTCTCTGGTCATCCCAATACGCCGCTTACGATGTCCTCTCCGCTCCAATGCAAAAGTATCTCGAAGGCCTCACGGCCCTCCACTCTGCTGAAGAACAAGCAATTGGTTCCCGCGCAACAGGAAGACCAGTGAGGCGAGAGCCGGTGATCACCGAGCACCCTTTGGTCCGCACGCACCCAGTCACGGGCTGGAAGAGCCTATTCGTGAACCCCGGGTTCGTGAAACAGATCGTTGGCGTGCCGAAGATGGAGAGTGATGCTATCCTGAAATACCTCAATGACATTGTTGTTGCCACGCAGGAGCTTCACGCTAGGTTCCGCTGGGAGGAGAATACTATTGCGATCTGGGATAACCGCATTTGTGTAAGTCTCCTATTGTGTCCGGGTTAGAATTGAGGGTTAGAACTAATGGTTTTGGGTCATAGAATCACACTGCCACCTATGGATTCTCGCCCCACATGCGTCACGCCATCCGTGTTACGCCCCACGGTGAACGCCCAGTCTTTGATCCCAATAGCAAGTCTCAGGAGGAGGATCTCGATGGGAAGGCCGGCAGGACATCCATTAACAAGAACGGCGCTAGACCGTCAAACTATAACGATTAAGGGGGTTCCCGTGGTATATAAGGTTTAGTCGCGACGCGATTGCTGAGTGCATGGATGTGATTTCATTCATTGGTTTAACCTTTATTTTTTGCTTTATCATTTCCGGTCGGCGCTGGTGCATTGCAGGCAGAATATCTGCGATTATGAGATAGTATCTCACTTGTTTATTAAAGCGAGCCAAGTTCTAGTATATTTACATTTTTCATTCTCGTTTTTATGGTGAATCTTTTTATGCAATAGATTTCTTTTCCGGGTTCCTTTCCCTTCGACGAGATAAGATCTCCACCTAGAATCACTCGAGCAAGCTACTGAATCCCTACCCAGAGAACCTCCGAATCATATAATACGATACGGCATACAAACCATATGCGTGAGGTTCTCCCGCACTCTCTTGGCCTACCAACTTTAGCTAAACGATGTTTGCAATATATTGAAAGGTTACTTGACAGGGTGCCACTTTGCGGCACAAAATCTAACAAGACGGTCTTGTTTCTTAAAAAAAGAAGTCTGATAGAATACGCTTTAATGCTAAGGAATGATAAGACGGGGGGGGGGGAGAGGCGGCCACTTCGGGTCTGATAGTTGATTCCCTGTATCGTAGAAAGAAAATTAACTCTCAAATTGCCTGTATCTCGTATTTGGGATTACGCAATCCTAGAGTGTCCACTGCAACCAACATAATGTTGCAAAGAGTTAATCTGTAACTCCAAGATATTACACTTCTGAAATATTATTGTGAAGAGAACTCAATTTGGAGCATTCTTTTTTATATGAGTGAACTTCAGGGAATAGTTTGAAGGAGCCAGCATTCATCTTAGTTCATGTCTAGAAATAAGGGATTTTCAGTTCCTGGTCATTAGCATATTTGGAGGTGCTATGGATCAACACCTAGCTATGAATTAGTACTTTTGGTCCAAATTTTCTTTGTTTTTGAATAACTCAACAATGCTTTCTCTTTTAATACTTATCTTTTACCTAGAGTAAATATCAAAGAACAGCATTTAGTAGGTATAATAAAATTTAAAACATTGAGTTTTGAGTTTTGATCTTATTATCAATCATTCGGAACATTATAGTCTATTTAGGTAATTTAACAAACAACTGTCTATTATTAATTTTAATTACATTTTTATTAGTATAGTTATAATTACCTGAATATTTATGTAATGGGAGCTTCCTCTGGGAAGATGGATTATGAGGCTGTGACCGCACTAAGATGAGTTCTGGCAGGAATCAATATAATAAAATTTCAACTTCTCATCAACTGAGTTTGAAGAAACAAAATAGTAAAACTTAATATCATTAAGCCACAGCTTTACTCAATTAAGTCCTGATCTTGGAGGTAGTTAATTGTCAAAGTAGAGGAGAACTCACATATAATCAAGTAGATTTCATATACTGCTAGTTGCTTCCTATCACTACTCTGCATTTACGAGCACCTAACTCCCTTGGGCTGTCTAGCTAAGCTCCATGGATTGGACCAAAGATTCTCCATAGTGCACTAGACTACTCTGTGTTTTTGCTAACATCTGCCCAACAGAAGTGTTTTAGCCACTGCATCTACAATGCAACTGCAGGAGTGAAAACTCTTCTTATCATATACAAGTCAGTGGTGAGCTGTCATGCCTAAGCAGATGCTATACTCACTATGGAACTCTCTACCCATATACACTTAGTCTCCTACAAGTATCTGCAGCCCATAAACATCTATCTGGTTCTATATTCCATATCATTTTGGATAATGGCCACTTAGCTCTCACGATAAACCTCTTTGAAGGTTGACTACCAATAGGCGCTACCCAAAGTCAACTCTCCTAGAAGTAGGTTTCATCATGATTTCAGACTAGTATCTTAGAGTCCTTAATGATTCTCTAATACTATTATAATTTCAGGGCAATGGACTTCTGTTACCTCCCCTATAGGCCTTTGGTAATTTCACATACTACTTCTATCTTCACAGTGGTCTTGCTCTGTCAGTTTTGGTCTATTTTGCATAAGGTTACCTGTTTATTATTCTTCAGATTCCCCTCGACTCTTTCATATATCCTACGGACAGCTTCTGGTTGACAGGACAGTGTGAGCATATATGGTGTTATGGGAGCGTCTCTACCAGTACACTTTTACTTGACTTACAGCAACTCTTCCAGCGGTAGCCCATGATACTAGGGACTTATAACAGGACCGGAGGGGGGTGTTAGCCACCACTCCTCCAGGTTATAGCTTGCTCAGAGCTCAACTGGCTGTGTGGGAGTAATCTACATATTCTGAACACCCTATGTAGTCTCGAGTGACAAACAATCTAGTAACTTTCTCTAAAGTTCTGCATAACAAGTTACTTTCAAGGTAAGGTACCTTGGCTCCATAGCTGGGTAACTTGTGGTCCAAGGCAGGGTAACTCTAGTCTAAAGATAGGGTAACAGCACTCTGAGTTATCCTACAAAGTAGGGTAATTCTACCTGGACTCTCTATTGAGCAATTCCGGGTAACTCCTAAATTGATGACTTGGGTTTTCCTACAGAGCAGGGTAACTACCACTCCTTGCTAGTACTTATGTACTTCTTTGTATGGCAGAGTATGTCCAACTGAGGTACCTAACTAATAGTACCTGTACTCGGTAGACTCTGATCGACTATTATTCCTACTGTAGTAGCCTCTTGATACTAATATAGGGATAGGTTTGGCTAACTGTAATAGTACTCTGTGGAGTCTCTTTACACCACATTACTACCATGGAAAATGTTAAGACCACGACCCTGAACAGCAAGGTCTCTGCCTTTATCCACCTCACCTCAGGTACGACATCTGTCTATTTGGACATGCCTGTAACTCAACTTGTTGTGTATAGCCTACCTACTTCTCCGTTACTTGTAACTATTGCAATACAACTTCCTACTTTCTACTTACTTTTACTCACCAATCCAGGTAGCTCACCTCTGATGATACAAGGTACGACAAACCTGCCTCCTCTATAGTTATCTCCATTACCAGTCCTAAGATTAGAAAAAGAAAAATCAGTATCTGGTATGGCTGTATTCTGCCAGTACGAAACCACCATCGCTTCTACTTCCTCTGCGTCCTGTATGCCCAAGTATTCATTGCAATCAGAATTAGCATCTGGGTAATCTGAGGTTATGCTACTGGATTCCTCTGTATTGTGATGTGACGTTGCATCTTATCCACATCCTGGTGTATGCTGGTAACAATTGTAACTAATAATTGCATCTGGATAATGAGGGGTGACCTGACTGGACTCCAGTGGTTTCAGATGCGAAGTTATATTATATCTACATCCTGGTATATCCTGATAGTAATCCGAGTAATAGCTATACTCCAGTGGTGGATCTGCGGTGATTGGTTGTGATTTTACAGCAATGATACACTGCCAACATGCTTGCACTCCAGATCATCCACACTTATACTACATACAACATAACTACTAACTATATGCTGACTTTAACTGCAGATACCATGGGTATCATTTCTACATGGTATCCTGCACTGAATACCCTAAATGTCTTCAATGCTAGTATTTCAACAGTGTAAAGAATATCTACCGGGCGGCAATATTGATAGAGTTACAGATTGCTTTAGTGGTAGTATTTCCCTGGGTAAAGTGCTGATTTTGACACCTGATTCTGTAGGTATTCTTGGGACGCAATATTCGATATTGAAGAGCCTAGATCCTCTTAATACTGGCTTTCCAATGGTGTAAAGACCGTCTACCTGCCAGCAATATTGGTAGAGTTACAGCTTGTTTTAGGAGTATTGTATACTTTGGCAATGTGCTAACTTTGACAACAGATTTGGTCAGTGTCCTTTGGATGTAACCTTCCATACTGCATAGCCTAAATTCCCTTGATAAATTCCCTTGATAACAGCTTTCCAATGGTACAAAGAACATCTACCTGCCAGAAATACTGATGGGGTTACAGCTTGTTTTAGCAATAGTGTTTACTTTGGTGAAGTTCTGCTCTTGACATCAGATGTATATTAGATGTTTTAATAAATCATACAATTTAATATACAAATTCAGTTGTGACTTAAGTCCTATAACTGTAAAAGGAGACATATTGTGTTATTTTTTATGTACAGAGAATATATTACTGTGTCTCGCTGTACTTAGAGAATGTAGTACTGCATCTGATTGTACTCGGAGGATATATTGTGGCATCTAGTTATGTCCTATGAGTTTGGTGAAAATGGTATTATACCTTGGCATTTCCAAGATGTGATATCATGTCCTGATTTACGATTAACATTGTGAGTGTCCTGTGTATCAGATACTGAGGATACTCAGGGAGCAGGCCTAAACTTTTACTAATGAAAGCACCGCTCTTTGTTGACAAGAGACTGCCCGCCATCTCCAACTTCAGAATTGAACGCCTACTGTATTTCAACTCCTACCCTCTGTACTCCAACTGCCATGGCTTTGGACACCACAACAATAAGAACACCTCACCACATGCTTGCAGATAGTGCATACTTTCTCACACTACAGGGTACCATGCCTGCTCCACTGCTGCCTGCTACCTCCATGGCTGCCCCTGTACCCACTCTACCCTGAGATGCATCAACTGTGATAGCTCTTATATATTACACTTTCCTGCCTACCTCACCTACTCCCAATACCTTGAAGTGGTTCCAGAGTCTGTAGGGGATAATAATATAGTAGATATGGTCAACACATAGGCCTCAAGCTATTCCCTTGCCATCTCTACACTGTCCTCGAGTTACTTTCTCCTCTATAATAGTAATCTGAGTTGGCTAACTCTGGTGATTGTTTCTTTCCTCTTCACTCTCAAGTAATGGAGTACTGTTGCTTGGTATACTTTTATTTTTATAAGATACAGCATAGTTTCTTATAGGTGGTTTTCTACTAATTAAGGTTTTGTTTAAGCCATAATTTACACTTTCTATGAGATTCTTGTACCTTAATAATGATATATATAATATAAAATTTATTTTATTTTTTAAAAAAATTCCCTAATACTACTCATCCACCATCTCTACAACACGTCTAATGATTGAAATTTATTTCCTATTTGGGAAGACCTCAACACCACAAAACTTCTCAATACTTTTTGTATCTGGTCTTTCCTCTAGGGGGGGATTAGGCTATTACTTTCCATTTTTCTATCTTATTGGATCTCTCCTCTTGCCTTCTCCCTTGAGGTCTACCCTCTTGAGATCCTCTTCTCACCTCTTCTAGCA